GTTAGTTAGTTAGTTAGTTAGTTAGTTAGTTAGTTAGTTAGTTAGTTATACACTGCCCATCTCCCCCAAAGGGTGACTCTGGGGGGCTCACAATTAAAATCAAACCTCAAAAACAGTTAAAAATATAAATATCCACATTAAATTAGCTTAAAAAATCATACTATATAAAAAGACTGTATACATAAAAAGACTATAACATTCAAGATGACCGGGAGGTGGGTAGAATCAATTACCCCATGAGCCAGTTCCAACAATGCCGTGATTTAAAATGTGGCCGATAAAATGTAGTGGCAAGCCCACAGGTTTCCCGTAGTGTGATTTCAATGACTTTAAGACAACTTAATGCTTGGAAAAGATACATAAGCGTCTCCACGTTTTAGGGCAGTTGGAACGTTTTATCGAGCCCTTAAAACTGCCCTGTGAGGTAGGCCAGCATTTTGCCAATGTGTTCCCTCCCTCTGTCCACTTAATCTTCAGTCTATTGACCATATTCATACGCTGCCCTTTCCCCAAGAAACTTATGAAGGCAAATGTGGTTTTTCCTTCCTTTTGTTTCGTGTCACAACAGCCCTACGAGGTAGGTTTGGTGGAACTCCAACGGCTGACCTTATGACTTTTGTAGCCTGGCAAGGATTTGGACCTCGTTTTCCCCTGTCTTATGTGTGACAGCCTCTCTGCCTGATGAGTTCTAAGTATTTTGTGTTCCTGGGACGGGGTGGAGCGGGGAGGAAGAGAAGAAATCCTTTTCCTCCTGGGCTGCTCCAGATTCTGGTGCAGGCAAGGCTTCGTCTTCCATTTGTGGGGAAGTCGGTTGGTCCCTGGCCCCGAATCATCCTGCTGGAACCTCCTGGGGTCTCAAGTCTAAAAAAATCAGGCCGGCACCAGCTTATCTGCCCGTCTGAAAAGAAGCCACAGGTGCAGCTTGCCAGTCCGTTTGGCCGCTCCGCTCGCCGGAGAAATGAAGCCAGCGTCTGCCAACACGTTGGCTCATTCACACCAAAGACATCTCAGATATTTCAGCTTCTTCGTCCCAAAGGACCCATCGCCTTTCATCTTGAGTTCAGCATTATCAGTTCTTTCAGAGCCGGGACGGAAACTGGGCAGGGATGCCGGCCTGTTGAACTGGTGCCCAGATGCCCCCCGTGCCAAAGCGTCTCTCCACCGGCCCCTTTTTAATGGCCACAGGGTGAAACCCGAGGCTGGCTCGCTCTGGGGAGAGGGGAGCGTTCATTGCGCTGCTGGGCTCAGGGCAGGTCGTTTTTTGGGGGTCTGCATGAATGCCCTGGGGCCTTTCAGCGCTTTTCAAGTCCTCTCCACTCCCCCTTTTTCAGGAGGGGGGGAATCACCCGTCCCCTTCCTCTCGGCTGACGTCCCTGTTCTCTTGCAAGAATAGCAGCTAAGTTTTTGTGCCTTTCCCTCCCACCCACGTT